ACCCTCTTAATAGATATACTCTCTTTGATGCCGTGTACATGGAGAAATATGTAATTTAAACAAGAAAGAGTCAAAGCTAACATATATACCGTCAATCTAAAAGAAAAGCGGGATGTCCTGGTGAGGAAGCCGGAGAAATTACATGTATCGAAAAAATAGCGGGAGAAATAGCGACCAATCTAAAAAATAAAAAAAAAAAAATTTGAACAAAAAAGAATGAATAGATTTACCCTAATATCTCTCTCAAATAGATTTACCCTAATATCTCTCTCAATCTCAACACGACGATGCAGTGACGCACTTTGAAACTTAGAGGTTCTCGTTTACATCTAGCCGATGTATTGAGCTTTCAATTTTGGTAAGTACTGAGAATCAATCTTTTATTACTTCGCCCATAGATTCTTTCAATTTTCTTCCTCAATATGTATAAATCTTTTCTGTTTGATTAATCGAGGTCAAGTTTTATGCTAGAACAAGGTCTGATTATCGTCAGACTTTAAATGATTTGGGTTAATTTCAATTGCCCTCTTAATCTCTTATTTTAGGTTTGATTATTTGTACAGTTGGTGAACTCTAATGGAATTTTAATGGTCAGTATTATTGTTTTGAGTTTTGGTGATCCCCGAATTGAGGTGTGAGTTCTATTTTTATCAGTTATTATAAAATCTGATCTTTTCTGTCTATTTGAAACAGTTGCTAATTATATCTCAAGTAAATTTAAAAAATAGATATTTTTATTAAAATTAAGGTGGGAAACTAAATTTGTGGGGATTAAAAAAAACGGGGGAAACAAATTATAATTAGCAAAAGGCGGTGATTTAATTTTATTTGTCCCTCAAAACCGCTCCGCTCTCAGCCTCCCACCCGCGAACTCCCCACGACCCAAAACCTAGCTAGGTGATTTTTATTTCCCCTCAAAACCCCTCCAATCTCAGCCTCCCACCCGACCAGTACCTCCCCACGACCCAAAACCTCCCCTCTCAAAAATTTCAATTGACCTCCGATCTCACCTCGATCAAGACCTTGAGACCTTCACTTTCCCTTATAATAACAGATTTAGGCGTCTCTGGTCTTTCCAATTCGTGCAATTGTGGTTGCGTCTCTCCCCTTTCCGATTTCTGGCAATTGCATGTGCTGATCGCCTCACCCCCACAAAGGTATTTTGAATTTTCCTATTATTGTGATTAAATTATTCATTAAACTCGTAAAAATTCCCAATCCCTTGTTGATTCTGTGCATGTAATTCTGTAGAGAAAAACTCTCTGCTTTTCTATTCTATACAAAAAAGAAGTAGTTTTAGTTATTGTTCTTATTAGGAAAACAGTAATCAAGATCAAAATATTTCATGCTCTCCCTCAACCAATTTGAAATTTCTAATTATTTCGGTACATAGTAGTCTATTTTTATTTGAAAATTTATGAACTATTTTTAGGATTAAAAGAAAAAAATTAATCTAATACTCTCCGTAACCATAACTTGAGATCATTCTTAAATGAACACTACAAAGTTAAACCATTTCTGTCGAGGGGCTAACAGAAACCACCATTAAGGTTATCAGATCATATAGGAGTCTTGAGTTGAATACAAGAGTCTTTATATTTGAATTACTTAATCCTTTTTACTTTATAACTCTATTAACTGTATTTAATTGGTTCGTCAAATTTAATGTTCCATACTTCTCTTCATATTCATATTTTATAGAAAATTCGTATGGACTAAATCCTTTCAAGGATGTACTTAACTTATTCATGTATGTTGGGGATGTTAAATAAGCCCTATTGTTTAATGAGGAAAATTTCAAACTTTCAGTAGTCGATAACCTTCTGGAACTTGTTTAATTCTTCAGGTGTCATTAGACAATGCCAGCCTTTTCACTTTTTTCGAAGTAATTTGACCATTGGTCTTGATGTTTCTCACTTTGTACTTTGTAGATATGCTTCCACTTTTTTTTTCCTTTCTGATTATGAGCACTGTGCTTTATGTGGAACAGAAGCAAACTGTTAAACCATATCTTGATGTTGAGTTCCTTTGGGGGTCTATCAATAATTACTCAATTCAATTTATACCCTGTAGGCTGTCTAAAAATCACAATAGATAGCTGATCCCCATCAAACACCGATGATGGAAGTTACAATCTGACGACTTCCAGAAGGCTACAATTTGAAGACTTTCACGTAGATCGCTGAAGGTTACAATCTGACGACCTTCACGACAACTGATGAGAGCTCTAGTTTAACAGCCTTCACCATCAACATCGAGAGTTACAATCTGACGACTCTTGCATATCGAAGAGCTAAAGCAAAGATTACAAAATGACGATCTTTGCAAAGCTTCGACAGAAAGAGACTACAAATCGACGGTCTCTTCAAACCAAGATGTGGAAATCCTCCCCGCGTACCAGCATCAAGACATACCGCGTTCATAGCCACGAACGCAGCGCAAACGCAGCTCCAAACGCTGCAAACCTCTATACCGCTGCCAGACGCAGCTTTAATCACCGCCAGACGCAGTTCCATAACACTACGAAACGCACCTTCAAACATCAAAGAACGCAGCTCCATATCGCTGCAGAACGCAGCTTTCAAATTGCTGTAAACGCAGCTCAGATCCGCTGCCAAACGCAGCTCTTAAATCGCTGCAAATGAGCTTCCAAACGCTGCGTCCGAGCTTCCAGATGCTGCGTTCAAGCTTTTAGGCATTGCGTTTGGACACAGAATTCATACCAGAACGCGGGCCTGCGTTTGACTCGAGTTGAACGGTTCCAAAACCGTTTCCCACGATCTGAGGGGATCACAACTCCACTCAGGAGTGATTTAAGGGGCGGTTACATCCCATTAGCCCCACTTAGGAGTGAATTAAGGAGGTGGTTACACCCCTTAATCCCCTATAAATAACTGAAAATCAATTCAGTTCAGGGTTCAGTCTGTTGGAACTTCTTGGCAATGAAAAGAGGATCCTTCATCCTTCGGTTGGAGCTTTGGAGATCGGCAACAAGATCTTCTTCATCCTTGGCTTATAACCGACTTTCGGTTAAATCAACTCTTTCATAGAGTTTTAAACTCGTTCAGAGTTCTCCACAACGTGAAATCGTGAGGAGAAGACTACGTTCCAGTGAAACAAGACGTCGGATCGTCAACGAGAAGCAAACTCGACGCGAGCATTCGAGGGAGGCATCTCATCGCCACCGTGAAGAACCCAGAATTAAATAAAGGAGAGAATCAAATTCATTCTCTTCTCTTTTGTAATTAGGAAATCCAATTGTAACTGAGATTAAAGGAATACAAATCAAATTTTCCTTTATTGTCTTTTTACTGCAAATTTCCCACCAAACATACCCCTCTTAAAGTCTTTTATGAATGATGGGAGGAAAGGAATAGACTTTTGCCTGTATGAATCTGAAACTATATCTCTATTGTTTTTTTGAGAGGGTACATTATGCTAGAGTCTCAGGATACCCTTTGCATATAACAGTAATAAACGAGGAATATCAGTTGTTTTGTTTATGGAACAGGAACATCCAGGTCCATGAAACCGAAAGTGGATCATGTGCTTATGAAATTGGAAAGAACTTTTTCTCTCTTTTTATTGAAAACCTAGACTTGTCTTACAGCGTTGGGTTTGGATAGCCTTGTGTGCTCTTTCTATATACTTACTAACACCTTTTACTACTTGCATAAAAGAACTTGACTATATGCACTTCATCAGTGTAATACTTTCATAATGGTCTAGAGGTTGTTTATAAAACAAACAAAATGGCAATTGTTCATTTTGTTGATGTAATCCTTTTACTGTGGATCGTTGCTTGTGGATCGTTGCTGTAAATTCTTTTTTTATGTTTATTTTGACAAAACATCAAAGGCCTAATAGAGGTTAAATGATGTTAACTTGTTTGACACCTTCACACTGAACCTCAGGATATCTTGGATCTTATAGAATTCTCGAGTCAAAAACATGAGAGGACAGTATTAATTTTGCCATTATTAATGCTTCATGGTTACCTTCTCAAAATTTTATTTATTTTGCGCTGTGCCTTATAATTCCTTTGTATACCAAGCTAAATTCAGATAAAACGATGTTGGATTGGCATAATATTAGGTGCCATCAGCACTCTGTCCATATTATGTGGACTTGGAGTACAGGAGCAGGCTGCCATCACTACAGCTGGATTCTTATAGACATTTCTTTAGAGCAGCAATTCCATGCACATCCATATTAAGAGCAATGCCGAGAGTCATCCATTTGATGATTTACTAGCTAGTAGCAATTGCTGGAAACCATTTCAATATTATGATGTTTTCCTGTTGTTTTTTATTATAGGTACATGATGGACAGAAGTTGGATGTTTGTTAGAGATAGGTTTCACAACCCTGACTTCACCAATGGTTTACAAACATTTTTGGATGCTGCGAAACAACACCTAGATCATGAAAATAAGACGTGTTGCCCCTGTGTTAAATGTCAAAATGCATTGCCGTGTCTTTCTCTACCCGAGATACGCAGACATATACTTGTAAATAGAAGAAATTTTGTTGAGTGAGAAGGAGCAGCTGGCAATTAAGAGATCAGGCTATAGATTGTAAGAAACAGGAGGGGAAATGGATGGTTTTAGATATGTTTATTAGCTGAAAAGATACAGGTTCATTATCGTCCAAACTTCAAATAACTATGTTTAACAAATTTTGAAAATGATCAAAATTGCAAAACCACTGCAACGAGTTCAAAATAGTTTGTGGCATTGTGCACTGAAGTGGGAAATTTATTTTCTTCCATAACTGGAGATGTAATTAAAAGTTCCACGTACATGATTATCAGTAGCCCTACCAGAAAAAGATACAGTTATTAGCAAGAATAGCAGAAAAATTTTCTTTGAGACTCATATAAACATGGTAATGATTCAAATAGATGAATGTTACATTCTTTTGCATTTTGACCATTCTAATTGTCTGATAATAAACAGTGAGAAGATGTACCGTAACAAAACGCCTACCGTTCAAAACAGTGAGAAGATGTACCGTAACAAAACGCCTACCGTTCAGAGTTCTACTTCTGGTAAGTAGTGCATATTTCTCTTATAATTCATGATTCATTCACTTGGTTGATTAGAATATTATTATCAATTTAACGTTTATGTAACAACAGGTAATGCACCAAGTAATCAATCACATGCAGAATTATTGAAAAAGAAACGTTCTCATGCAGCAACTAGTTATCTGCCATACGTGAATTCTACAGGGAATGGATCTGGTTCTAATCCGAGTAAATATGCAATCTTCATTTTACTGCTAGAATATTTAAGTACTGTTAGTTTTTACTTATCTAACAAGTGTGTATGCTAATAGGTACAAAACGTACTCGTCTGCAAACTTCCAATCAAGAATGCCAAAATTCTGTAGCAGATGGACTGAATTCTAGTAGTACTGTTGTCACCACAGAACGAACTACTACTGGTAAGTGGTGTTGAATTGAGCTGAATTCAGTTGAATTGAGCAGAATTGAATTATTTTCCTCTAAAAGGTGTAGAGAAGCTGAATTGAATTTCATTTTCATCAATTGCAAATTACAAGGGTATACCTAAACTACAAACTCGAATGACAGGGATTAGAGTTAGTGCACGTCTTCAGCAACAAAGTGTTAATGATCAGCCAGTGGTAAACACCATAGTTGAAGAGCGAGATGATAATGTGATGTCAGATATTAATCAGGAGCCTCCTTCAGGTATACAAAACATTATATACAAATATTTTAAGAATTAAATATACGTATGTGTTATGTTCTTAATAAAAATTATGTCAAAGGTACAACCAAAAAGGTGCGAGGGAAGACAAGAGGAGTGAATGCAGATAAGGTGTTCTCCCAATTGAATTCTAAAATACCTGTGACTCTGACCGAAGAAAATGGCAGACCTACGGGCCCTTATGCTGAGATGTTTGCAAATGAAATTGGTTACACAATTCGAAACTACGCCCCACTGAATGTGGAAAAATGGAAGAAGATTGAAAAAGCAGATGTGGAGAACTTGATCAAAAGAATGCAGGTTAGTGATGATTTGTTTTGCTAAAGGCATTATATTGGTTGCTTTGATTTGTTATATTTAGTTTGACATGAAATTATGCCTGTGCAGAATAAATTTGAATTTGATATGTCGCTCCCTTGGGTCCAGAGATATGTAATTACAACATGTCAGACCGTATATTGTAATTTTCGTTATAAGTTAAAGAAACATTTTGAGCAGTTTTCAACAATTGAGGAGGCAATTGAAAACAAACATGAAGCTGTCAAGACTCAGGAAGAATGGGAGTTTCTTTGCACTCATTTTTCTAGTGAAAAGTTTAAGGTACAATATCTTTTTTATTTTTCTCCACGCATTACATTTTTTTTTATTTTCATTTACTTCTTTCTAACTGTATGTCTCAATAATTTTAGATTCGCTCAGAGAAGAATGTTCTTAATAGGTCAAAGTTGACATATCACCACAAAGCTGGGTCAAAATCATTTATGTCACACCAAGAGCAAATTGTAAGACACTTTTTAGTTTTGCTTATAAATTTGTAACTTAATTGTGTACATATATATATGCTAAAAATGAAAACATGGTTGAATGCAATAGGCAACACAGACTGGAGAGATGCAATGTGCAATTGATCGTTTTGAAACAGAGTATAGAAGCACAAAAAAATGATGGGACTTGGGAGCAAAGGAAAAATGGGTAAGTAACGTGTCAATGATGCATGCTTTTATAATATTTTAAGAATATAGGTGAAACTGATATTACTGTTCTAAAGAGGATTATATTGATTAGGTTGTAATTAAGAAGTTGCATATGATTGAACTGGATATATTTTTTTTACTTATAGGATCAAATGATAAAGATGCGAGCAGATACCACTCAACCTGATGGAACTCGAACAATGACAGATGAGGAAATTTGTGCAAAAGTTCTCAAAGTCAAATCAGGCTACATTAAGGGATGAGTGAAATGTCTGAAAAGAATAAAGAGTTGCAAGAATAGCTTCAAGAGACCCAACAACTTGTAGGAACTCAACAACAGAAGATCGATGCGCAAAATGAGGTAATCCAAAGATTGGAGGAGCAAGCCAAAAAGTTTGAGGAGTTTATGGCTAATTTTTCGAGGCAACATCCATCAGCTTAGTATTCTTAGTGACTTAAACTTGGAGAAATGTTTCTTTGATCGTGTTGCATTTGTTATTGCTTTAGACTAGTATTGTTACTTATGATAGTACCTTTCTTGCTTTATTTATTTTAATTGTTTTGATGTACTGTGGTGACAATTGATGATAATTATTTATATTTTGTTTTTTTTCTCTTAATAGCATTATTATTGATGAAATAAAATTTCCTCATTATAAGTTTTCTCGCTATAAATTTAGGTCGATGAAAGTAAATTTCCTCAAAATAGACCCTACAACCTAAGGTGACGAAAATATGTTTCCTCGCAATAGGCCACATACTTATGTCGTCAAAAGAATATTTCCTCGTTATAGAGTATACTGCTTACGTCGACCAAAACATATTTCCTCGCTATAGTGATACAACCTATAACGACAAAAGTAATTTTCCTCGCTATAGACCATATAACCTATATCGACAAATGTAAATTTTCTCGTAATTGAATTTATTTGGCGAGGAATATGGGGTACAACCTATAATGACAAATTTAAATTTCCTCGTCTTTGAGTCCCTTTACTGAGGAACTGTTTCCACGAGAAAAAGATACATATAATGAAGAAAATCAATTTCCTCGTTAATGATTTACCTTTGGTGAGGAACAATTTCCTCGTTGAAAGGTACTTACAACGACGAAAATAATTTTTTTAGAACTTTTATTATATATAAATTAATTATTATTCACATATAATTGGCGAGGAAACTATAGTTTAGCGATGAAAAAGGCATGAGATTAGGTGAGGAAAAATATCGAGGCTAAAGAGTAACAACGAGAAAAGAATATATTCATCGCAAAAGGATTTCGTGAGAAATTATAATATTCCTCGCAGAAACTTTTCTTGACCACCCTACTGCGAGGAAATGGTGACCAAAGTTTTTTCCTCGCGAACACACTACGGCGAGGAAATCTCGACTTTCAACGACAAACTTGTTCCTCGCGGATTAGCTTTTCTGTTGTAGTGTAAATGTCTCAGAACATCTTAAAATAAAAAACACAATTTTTCATTACTTCTAATACATATTATTCATCGTCTCTTTAGTTGTATTATTGTTAAATCTTTAATTTTATAATTACTTGATGCAAAAGTAACTATAACACAATATTAATAATTTTTTGTTTCAATATTTTTAACACATATTTTTTATTTTCTCTTTAGTTATATTATTATAAAAATGTTAATTTTACAATCACTTGATACAAGAGTAACTATAACACAGTATTGCTAATTTTTTATTTATATACATTCAGAGTATATAAATCGAAATGAATGGAGTAGATTAAGTAAATTTATTGTATATAATATTTTTGAATGCGCTTCCTTAAATTGAATCTAAAGTGTCATTTTAGAAATAATTTTCCCTTATATATACACACATACACATACATACATATATATACATACTTGTTTTGCAAGTGGTCCCAATGACTCCGAATCAGATCCAAAATTATTCCCAAAATTAACGTATCCCAACTTAATTAACTATTTTCAAAATATTCTTGAATACCAAATGTCCAACTATAGCAAGAACAAGAACAAGATCCACAATGCATGATACTCTTGTTATGTACTCTTCCAGTGACTACGTTTCTCAAAATTGCAATGCAAGTACAAAGGGATGCAATAAAATAGAAGAGAACGCGTAGAATACGTACAATGGTGCGGTACGGTAGTATAATTTCACGTGCATGGATTAAGTTTCTCTGATACGAGGCTTTGGGTGCCTTCCGAAAAAGGCATTTGAAATTGTCGTAAAACTCTTTTTTTTTTTTTTTAATTTCAAGTTGCGTCATTCTTAAAGAACTTGATAGATCGATAAGAAGCTTAATAATGATGACAGGTTGAGATTTTGAATGACAGCAGAATTGGACGGACACTAACATGGGCTTTGGCCTAGTCAAAATGTGAGAAGTTTTGGCCTGCCAACTGCAATGCGAGCCTGTTAGTCACGTGGAAACAAGAATGGGACCACATGGGAGCGTTTGACATTCAATGTGCTTTTTTTGTTTTCGTTTTTTTTCAAAAAATAATGAAACATGTTTGGGAACTTGGGTGTTTTTTTGAGCTGACCATTCACAAATCCTAAAAGATCCATGCTTTTCTCAAAACACATAAAAGGTGTTCTGAGATCCCCGTGTCTCATTTTCCCTAGACCAACCCGATCCCCTTTTCTCTCCCTCAACCCTAACACCGTCGCCGCCACTCTGAATCGTCGCTAAGCCTCAGACTGAACGTCGCCGCAGCCTCAGACCCGTTGTCGCAGGCTGTCTCCGCGTCGGCGCAAGCCTCCGAGTAGAGTGCCACTACCGCCTCCACGTCGCCGCAGCTGCCTCCTCGTCGCCGCAGTCGCCTCGTCGTCGCCTCTTCGTCTCCGTTCTTGCTCTCTATTAAATGAGTGTGATCCCAATCTTAAACCCTAATTTGACCCAATGACTTTTTCTCTCTCCCCATCGAATTCGTTCAATGCATCTGCCACCTCTGTTGACAAATTCAGAAAGCAGCAGCAACTCAGATCTCAAAGGTTTGATTTCTTTAATCTAGGATCTAATTTTCATTTTTTTCCCCTTTGATTTAATTTATTTTTTCTCACTTTCTTTTATCAGATAGGAAGTTCCCAGCTTAATTTGGCAACGAGACATGAACCTCATTTTATAAAGTTTGGGTTGCGCAAGTAAGATTCTTCTTCAATTTCAAACTTTTTTTTATTTTTTGTCCAAGATTCTTCTCCAATTTCAGAACCTCATTTTATTTTTGGTTTTTTTTATTTATGGCAAGAATTATAAACATTTCAAGAGTCATATGCTGTAATGTTATTGTTATATGTTTGTGCTTGCCCCAAAACTTTACATGGTGTTTTGAAAACACGTTTAAAAAATAATCACCATGACATAATGTTTTTTTAAAAAACACAATAAAAAAACACTTTGGTTACCAAACACAGTTGATCATTAGTTGGTGTGTTATTCGCATTGATTGTCATGGTGGAGCCAAGAATTTTGACAAAGGGCCCAAAAAATTAAACTCTCATCTACAAAATTAGAAGATATTTGAACTCTTTTAAGAAATTGTTCTATAGTTAAGTCACTACGTTGGTTCCTTAAATTTTAGTATTTGAAATTAGTTTTTTAAATCATGAAAATTGCTATTAGGTCAGTTAAAGTTTTACTTATTTTTAGAGTAGTTCATCCACTCATGAGTATAACTAGCGATTGAAGAGATTAAATTTGAAAAAATAATTATGAGAATTGAAGATGCTGATAGTCCACAATAATAGATTTTACTTGTAACCCTACAATTGCTACTTATTGTCTTGATTGGAGGGATTAATTTTGAAATATGTTAAGAATTGAGGAACCTAATAGGAACAATTGAGGGGTTAATTTTAAAATAACCTAAGAACTAAGGGACCTATTAGCAATTTGTCCGATTTGAGGGACCAATTTCATAAGACGAAAGATTTAAGGGACCAATAGGGGAAAAACCGTACTTACCCAAGAGGGGGCCAGGGCCCTTACGGGCTCCTCCCCTAATTGGTTATGTATGATATTCATCAATGCAGCCTACATATTTGTGCAGATAATATCTATTTTGTTAACATGTTTTTTGCATTTCTCCAATTTATTTAATTTTTCTTGACTGGTATCGAACTTAAGATATCTTTCTAGCAAAATAAGCTACTAAGAAATAGAATCAATAAAGTCTGATTGCTCTATCGGCTTTCATCAGGAAAACAGGGACCACTTATTTTTCTCCTGCTCATTATCTTCCCAAGTTTGGACACATTTTAAGAATTACTATCTCCCTTTCCCATGGTCATCATCTTTTGAAGATCTTTTATTAACTGTTAATAAGCTTCATGGTAGAGTTGGTTACATATGGCGCAACTTTTTTTCATATATCTGCTGGAACATTTGGATCAGTAGGAATAAATCAATTTTTGACAAAACTATTTTTTCTTACAAGAAGATTATTAACCAGTCGGCTTATGGCTTATATGATTGGTCAGATAATGGAAGAGGTGTTGCGGCAAAGAAACTCTCTGCAAGATTTGAAGATTTTCCTCTCTCTCGAGCAAGTGTCTGAAGATGGAGGACTTTTTGAGTCATCTTTTATATAGTTTTTGTTGTGTATATAGTTGTTCCTTATCTTTCATATGTTGACTATAGAAAATTAAAATTTACTATGCACATGTATGGCTGGCTTTGGTTCATCCTTAAATCTGTGTCAACGGTGAATGACGGCAAGGCCCTCTCTTCATCTTCATGGATCTTTGGATGAAGAAAGTTATACATCACTACTAGTAGAATTTTCATTTTCTATTTTCCAACATTTTGGACACAGTTTGTGTCTTACTTTTGTAACTAAACAATTTTTGGATTCTTGATATTTTAATGAACGGGGTTCTACCCCTGTTTTTCGATCAAAAAAAAAGTCTGATTGCTCTATCATGAACATAATAGATGTCAACACTAATTTATCTTCATTTTGCGAAATAAACTATCATTTCATATCCGTTTTCTTTTAAATGTGTGGGTAAGTAGTTCAATGAAAACAATGCTTTATTCATTACATGCATTTTGACTTTATTAGTTGAGTTTTTTGGACGCCTCAAACCATTAACATTGTTTAACAAAATATCACATTAATTAGAAATGCAATTTTTGAAACAGCAAAAATCTAAGACAGTCACGCGCGAGACGCTATTCATGTAACAGATAAAATTGCAAATTTGTATAAGTAAATTTATTATTATCATTATTTTCCACATTTACGCTCCATTGAT